AGGCGGGGGGTCCAGCAGCCACGCTGTGAGTGGGTTACATGGCCTCTTGTTCCTCCTGGGCCAGACGCCTACTCCCCACACGCGCGGCCGCCTGTGTGCACACGCGCCGTGTGGGACTGACGTCGTGGCACGTACCTGGTTCTGGAGCTGCGAGGAGGCCATGGGGCAAGAGGCAAGGCCGCGGGTCAGAGGTCAAAGGAGAAAGGATCCGAGGTTAATGGACAGGGCCGGTCGCCACTCAGGAGTGTCAGTGGCCAAGGCGGAGGGGTGGGAGCGTGCAGGGAGTGAGCGGGACATGGTCAGAGTTGAGCCCGGGTGCCATCGCACCCCAATCCTGTCCTCGCCTCAAAGACGGGGAAACCAAGGCTCAAAAGTAGAGTTTCGACCCTTGTCTCTTGCTTCTGTTGGGGCAACACTGCTTTGGTCATGGGGACACTGGGGCTCCTGCCTGTCCTCAGGCCCCTGGAAGGACTTCTATTCGAGGACACAGCGGCCCACGCTCAGGGGTGTGGCTGGGGGTGGCCCCAGGGCCCAGGACAGGCAGGGCCTGCAGCCCCAGGAAGCGTGCCTAGGGGACACTCGCCTCCTGCCACCCGGAGAGAGGGGCACTGATGCCCCTTTCTTTCCCAGCCTCTGAGGGCGTGTGGACGTGGGGCACCGGGCAGGCCTCAGCCGCGGTGTCCACCCACACCTCGAGGAGGGGGCCCACTGGGGCAAGTGGCCGGGGAGTGACAGGGGCCCTGCTAGGGGCTGACGGGCCTGCGCTGAGCGTGCAGCCCTCGCCCCAAGGCCAGGCTGCGGGGGCTGCCCCTCTATTTCCTTCTGTTCACCCGGGACCCTGTCTGGGGCCCTGAGCTGGCTGAGGAGTCAGGCGCCACATGGGCTCTCAGTTACCCAGCCTGGGACCGAGGGCTTATTTCAGGGATGGAGGTCCAGGCCACCTCCCACTTCTGGCCCAGCAGGTCCCCTACTGACCACCCTCTCTGCGAGGGGAGGAGCCCTCCGTAGCCTAGCCTCAGATTCCCCCCAGTCGGTAAAGCGTTGATCATGATTAGTGGGTTATTTTGGAGCCACATGTGGGGGCCCCTTGGCTGGCTGGCGCCTCGATGGTGCCCTGCCTGTCCCCAACCCCCGCGTGGGCTCCAGCCAGACCTCGGGCCCCACATGAGGACCAGAAGTCCTGTGTGTTCGTACCTTGCTCATGGACTTCTGCAGGCAGAGGGGAGCCGGGTGCGGGCGGCGGGGGAGAGAGAGAGGGTTAGACAGGAGAACACTGCACGTCCGCAGGGGTGGGGGTCACAGGGTCACTGAGAGGGAGCTGGGGGGTCGTGTGCGCCAGGGGCCTGCACCCCGCTTACCTTCCTCCTGGGCTTCCTCTGAGGCGGGAGTGGCAGGGAGCAGGAGGGAGAGAGGGAACAAGGACAGTCGTTAGAGGAGGGCATTGGGGTGGCTGATACAGGAGGCTGGCACCCTGAGAAAGGGCAGCGGGCACTCCAAGCTGGAGCAGGGAAAACTCCAGTCCTGCACTGCTGGCCCTCAGCAGCCCACCCCCATAACGCAGCGACACTTCGGGGGGCCCGCTCAGAGGCCTGGAGTCTGAGCCCTGCCTCTGCGGTGCCACCCCCTCCTAGACGCTGGGGGACCCTGAGCCCCTCAGCCCTTCCCCGGGGCCTGCTGCCTGCCTTAGCACGGAGGTCTCTGTGCATGGGACAGTCTGGCTGTCTTGTTCTGAGGGTGCTGGAAATGACGGCCAGACAAGAGCCACATGCTGTAAGAGAATGCCAACCCCCAGGAGGATGTCCGAGTGGGCCGGGGGCCTCTGAGTGCCCGAAGGCAATGGCGATGCTGTGAGGGTCTTGGAGGAAACGTACGCGAGGGACCCTGCCCACCGGCCACGCTGCCTCCCCCAGGAAAGGGGTGGCTCCCCAGGACCACATTTCCCCCACTCAGGAGCCTTTCCATCTTTTCAGCAGAAAAAGAAATACTTGCTCACGTTGTTAGGGGAGCCAAATGTTTTCAAAATATTTTCAAAACATAGCACCCAGAACGCCTTGCAGGAGAGTCCTGCCTGGTGAGGGTGCGTGAAAGCGCTCCTAAGGTTGAGCGGGTGCCAGGGGGTTGGGAGGACCTCCCATCTGAGCCTGAGAACCGCCTCTCCACACCGTTCCCAGGTGCGCTGCCCGGGCACGACCGGGAGGTTCCCACAGACACCAGGCGGGCCTGAGGGGGGGGCTCCGGATTACGCCTGAAGGTTACATACTGAGGATGCGGAAGATGCTGAGAGAGGCAGAGACATAGAGACAGAGGCGGGGAGAGAGAGAGGGGGAGAGAGAGGAGACAGAAAGACAGAGACAGCCTCGGAGATGTGGAGGGGCAGAGAGAGGGAGGGAGAGAGAGAGAGAGAGAGAGAGGGAGGGAGGGAGAGAGAGAGAGGGAGGGAGGGAGAGAGGAAAGACAGAAAGACAGAAAGAGACAGAGACAGCCTCGGAGATGTGGAGGGGCAGGCAGGGCCTGCACAACCAGAGACTTGATATTAATGAGGGTCAGTCTGAATGACCAAATCCAAGCTAACTGCACCACCATGGACACGGTGAGGATGGAGGATTAATGAGTGATTAATGAGTCTTTGTCTATTAGTTGATTAAAGAGATGAGAGGTTAGCGATGATGGCAAATGGAAATTAATTGTGGGGAAGGTAGACGGTTAACTGCTGAGCTTGAGTAGGCCCCAAGAAGCCCTGTGGGGCTGAGGGTGAGGGCAGAGCAGGACAGGAAGGGTCGAGGTTCGGGTGGGGGCGCCAGGCGCTGCCCCAGTTACCTTCCTCCTCGTACTGTTCTGTAATGGGTAGAAGAAAGGAGAGGAACGTGTTAGCAGGGCAGCCCAGAGCCGGCCTGGAAGAGGAGAGCCGGGGTCCTGTGCGCCCCGGGGGGCCCGGGGGGCCTCAGGCCCAAAGGAAGCTGCCTGGTGCCAGAGGAGGAAGAGGCTCTGGGGTGATGGCAGCTTTGGGGGGCAGGTCTGTCTTACTGGGGGAGCATGGCAGACAGTGGCCAGGCCTGGAGGCTGCCCAGGACAACCTTACAGTGCAGGCTGGCTGGAGCGCAGGGCAGGGCTCACATGTGACCACATCTCAGGGAAGAAGAGGCCTGAGGTGCAGGGGTGAGAGTGAGGCGCCCACTGAACGGGGCAAACCTAGGCTTCCACCAGGGGTCCCCAAGGAGAGAGGTGCAGTCAGTCGCCGGTCCATCGCTTCCCCAAGGGGCCATGCAGAGAGAGAAGTAGCTTTGACACTTACCCTCCACCTGTTCACTGTGTGTGGGGTCGGGGGGAGAGAGAGAGAGAGAGAGAGGAGAGAGGGGATGAGGGGCTTTCGCTCAGCTCAGCGGGTTCTCACAAACACCAACAGGTCCTCAGCCTCTGGACACAGCCAGGGGTCCCGAGGCGGGTGGGGTGGCTACTCAGATGCTACTCACACTTCCTCGTCAGACATGGTGTGGGCTGTTTCTGTAGCGGGCGGGGAGACCAAGACCAGAGTTAGGTGCTGGAACGGGTGGGGTGTGGGCGTGTGAGAGGACATGTCCCCGGCCTGGTGTGGGCCCACTCCTGCAGCGTGGCCTCTCATGAGGCTCCTCACTTCTTCCAACGGACCCGGGCCCCACACCCCCTTCCTGTTCCGGCTCCAGCCTGAAGTGTGCAGTCCCGGCTGGGACGCTGGAAGTCGTGGCGTCCACCCTCCACCCCAGGACAGACATGCCCTGTGCAGCATGCCCGAGGAGGCCCGAACAGGCTGCTCTGGACACTGCAGCCGTCTTGCTGACGCCGATTCAATCCTGCCCTTGGGCTGAGGTGGGGGCTCCCTGGGAGCTCCTAGGTTGCAGAGCCCAGCTCCCTGAGGGGGGCGTACAGGACCCTTCATGGTCTTTGCACCCCGCCATCCCCACGGGAAGCCCTCTTCCTGATGTGAGCTCAAAGCTCCCCTCTCTGACCGATGCTTTCCGTCCAGGACCATATTTTCTTACGGGTGGCCCAGGGCCCCCTGTGTGTCCCCAGAACCCTCTAGGGACCCCTATTCCAAAACCACAAGTGTGTACAAGCTCTTCACCTTGTCTTTCTCTCGCCCACCCAGGCAGCAGACTTGAGCCTCAAGCTCACGGGGACGGGTGAGGGCTATTTCCCCGTGTGTTCTCCCCTCGCATGTGAGCTTCAAAACCGAGGGGACGACCCCAACCCCCAGCCCACGCCCCCCTCTCCCGCCTGCTTTCCCTGCTCCTTGGGTGCTTTTGAATTTGTCAATGTCTCTGTGCCCCGGCCTGGCTGCACGTGTCCAGGTGCGGCCGGCGCTGGGCCAGCACACTGGAGGACCGTCTTCCGGTGAGCTGGCCCACCATACACGCCTGAGGCAGCCCCGGGCCTGGGAACGTTCCGAGCAGCTGCAGCAGAACATTGGCCGGGGTTTTAAACAACCGAGTTTATGACAACACATTACAGCTCACTTGAAGACAATAGTTATGGCCCCCCCAGGGAGCTTTGTATAAGAAAAACACAAGTTCATCATCTAAAAATGCATGCACGTCGCATTGCTAAGGTGGGAGCAGTTTTCCGAAGCCTCGGTCAAGAATGTTAATTTTCCCAGAGCAATTTCAGCTCCATGCAAAATTAACGAGCAGATCTCTGCTAACCCCTCCAGGAAGTCAGGCAGCCCTTCCCATCCCAAAGTTTCCTCCCCCAAGCTACAGCCTCCTGCCTTGCGCACAGCTGGGGTCTCACTGCTCCCCTGGCCGCACGGCCCCTGCCTCCTTGCCTCCTCCAGGGCCACTCTCTGGAAGGTGGGGGGAGGGTCAGCGAGAGCCCGAGACTCGCCCTGCTGTGCCCACCTCTCACCCTGGCAGTGCCCGACACCTGTCAGCCTCCTCAAGAGGGGACAGTCATGGCCCGTGCCCAGGGAGGGGTTATTTTTAAGGAGCCAGTGGCAGCTGAGGTGTCCAGAAATAGGTGCCCAAATCAGCCAAGACTCCTCTGCTCAGAAACACAAGACGGTGGGGGACGCGGGGGCAGCTGTGAGGGCAGCTGTCGGCTCAGGTCTTGGCCTGGGCCAGGCCGCCCCCCCTCCAAGTCCCCTTCCAGGTCTCCCAGGCCGGCCTGAGTCTGAGGGCACCCAGGACAGCTACTGAACTCTAGGCAGGGTTCCCCTAGGGGCCCCTTTCCATAGGAAGCAGCAAAGTCCTACCCTCCAGGTGGGGAAACTGAGGCCTCTCCAGGCTGCTGCCCCTCTGCCCAGTGAAGCCCAGAGGGTGACCTCATGGGCTGCCCCATCGGGGAGGGGCCGAGGGTGGGGTGTGCTTGGGGGCAGGGGATGGTGTTCTGACAGCTGAGAAGGAAACCAGTTGTCCATATAATGTCCTGCCCTCAGAGGGGCGAGGGTGAAAATAACCTCTGAGGTCAGTGTTCCTTGGGGGACACACACCCTCCTTCCCAGATGACAAGACGTGCTGGGGCCTGGGGAGGCAGGCCCTGCCACTCATTCGCTGTGCGCCCCTGACCATGTCCCATCTGACGGTGGCTGCTTGCCCGTCTGTCTCCTCCCAGGATGGCCAAAAGGGGGTAAAGGCGCCAACAGTGCGGGAGCCTGGCCTGGGTGACGTCAGGGGGGACAGCTGAGTCCTGATCCGATGGGGACACCGGGAAGGGTAGAAGGAGTGCCGGGCCAAGGAGCCTGGGAGGGGCTCTCAGAAATGATGCCTCTGCCACCTCGGGCAGAGGTGGGACGTGTCTTCTGGGCAAGCAGGACAGAGGTCCAGCTGCACACTCCTGCCGCTGTCCTCCCCAGCTCAGGCTCTGTCCACTCCTGTGCTAGCCACTCTGCTCTGGGGTGACGGAGACAAGCCCCTGCCTTAGTTGTCAATGGCGATGGCCATTTGGGCCCCAGAGGCCCCGGCTCCTGGGAGGAGCTGGCGGTGCCCTACTCTGAGCGGAGCCCATGGGAAGGCCGGGATGGGCCGGGGCTTGGCAGCCCCGCTGCGGCAGGCGGCCCTCGGAGCTCCGGGCAGCGCCCTTCCTGGCCGTGTGGTCTCCAAACGCCCACCTCTCCTTGGCTTATCTGGGCTCCCCGCCTCCCTCCTTCTCGGGCCTCCGTGCCCTGTGTTCTGGTGCGGCGTGGCCGCTCCGGCACTGCTCCGAGAGCTCAGCACAGGAGGCTAGCCCCCGAGCCCTTTCGGATCCCAGGGCACTGAGCCGCTGGGAGGCAGGGCATCCTGGCACCTCAGCATCCCGGGACCCCAGCATGTGCATCAAACGCCGGGCAGGCCTCGGCCAGCCCCAGGCCAGCTGCTCTCGGCCATACCCACCTGTGGCCGAGTCTGGAAGAAGGGCTGGAGCTCCCTGTGGACAGGACCGTCTCAGGCAGTGCCCGCACGGCCTCACGCCCTCATGTTATAGTGACACTTGATCTTTTCCCAGCAGTGATTGGCCAGGGGCTGGGTGGCCGGGGCGCGTGGGGCGGGCGGGAAGGGGCTGTGCCCACGAGGGCCCCTTACCAAGTATAGGAATAGCTGAGGAGGAGGCCCGAGGAGGTGAGGACGGGGACGTGTCTGCAGAAGGAGGCAAGGGCCACCCTCCTCCCCCAGGAAGTGTCAGCTTCTATTTTTACTCCCCCGACAGCAGGCACATTCTTGATGGCTGAGGAGGGTGCAGGAAGGTGTTGGGCGGCCCCAAGGACCCAGCAAAGGTTCTCCTTGGGAAAGGCTGGTGTGGGGGTCCCCAGAGCTGGGGCCCCAAATTTTGCAGCCCAGCTGCCTCCTCCATCCAAGGTGACGGTGGCAGTGCACTTTGCCCAGGAAAGGGGTCTGCACAGCCAGGTTGCATCACACATCGCCCCCCGCCTGCCCTGCCTTCCCCATCAGAGGAAGTGGCCGGGGCCCAGAAAACTCCGTGGAATGGAGGACTCTGTCGTCGGCCAGGCCCCCATCATGCCCGAGCCACACTTCGTGGCCAGACCTGGTCCTCTCAGTAGATGACACTGGGGCACGCAGGGTAAATGGGCAAAAGAAATAAGGCCACCTGCAGGAGGCTGGCATGTCCCCAGGAGCTGGTGTCAGGGACCACCACTATGCCGTCAGCCTGAAGCTCTCTGTTTGGGGGCCCAGGCCCTGCAGGCCTCTCTCCCACAGGCCGGGCTCCGTGTGCCACTCACAGTGGGCTTGGCCAGTGCCCATGGGATTTGACTTTTCTTTCCTCAGGACTCCAGGCGGCACCGTCCAGCCGGCAGACATCTCGCTCGGGCCTCCAGTGGTCCCCACGTTCGCCAGTGAGGCCATGAGGTCCCATGAGGTCCCATGAGGCCCTGCCTTTCGGGTTAGGGAAACTGAGGCACCAAGTGGGGTGGTAGCAGCCTGACACCTCCTTCCAGATGCCCCTGGGCACAGGCAAGGGGCCAGCCGGTCACGGATGGTGGGGTCCATGGCATGACCTGATCCACAGCCACAGCTAGCGGGCTGGCGCCCAGGACAGGGTGGGTCCCAGGAGATGCTGACGAGGTCCCTGCTGTCTGTAGGCTCAGGGCCAGGGACGTCAGGAGGAGACTCACGCCCCGGCCCCAGCTCCACCCGCTCCGTGCCCACTCTGGGTTCTCAGAGGCTTTTAGAAGACTTTCGTGGGGACCTCATCCAATCCCTATAAGTTGGAGATAAGGCCACGGGTTCCCTAGACGGGCAAGGATGTGCCCACGGTCACACAGCAAGGGGGGTGCAGATGGAAACCTTCCTCAGCCCACCTCCCCCAGCGCCTGGCAGTGGGAAGCCCCCGAGACCAGAGCCGCTGGGGACGTTGAGTCCCCACTGGTCAGAAGCTTGAATTTCCCCAGCCTGATGCCTTCTCCTTCACCTGTTCAGGTCTTGGATGGGCCAGGGTTTGGCGGGCCACACACAGCCCTGACCCTTGGCCAACTCAGGCCCACATTCTGCCCGGTGGGCTCACTGTGGAGCCCCTGAGTGGCTCCTGGGCTGCCCTGGCCCAATCTCCCCCTCCGTGGTGGTGCTAAGGCTGGCACCTCTCGCTCGGCCAGCAGAGACCTGAGGACCCCCCACCACCACCACCAAACACACAGATGCAGGTACACACATGGGGACAGCGTATCAGGGAGCAGCTGGCCTCGTCTGCAGGCTATGCTGGGGCTTGGCCTGGGAAGCACCCAGCTCTGCTCAGACTGTGGAGGCCTCGCTCCCAGGAGCTGCTGGCTGCACCTCGCCTCCGGCCCAGGGTGGTCTTAGGAACTGCGCCTGCCACAGGGCCTGCCGTGGCCCCTGCAGTGGCCCTGCTCAGCCAGCAGAGGAGAGTGCCTACCCACTCAATGGCCTTGGTCTCTGGCAGGTGCTGTCCCATGAGCGGGCCGAGCCAGAGAGAGGCGTTGAGGTCAGAGGGACGGGGCAGGTTTTATTTTGGGTATCGGTGGCCTCCCCTCAGGGCGCCAGGCCCACGTACAGCAGGACAGCACTCGCGGGCACTGCTGGATGGGCCGCCGGCCGCCGAGGGCCTGCACAGGTAATCTACACCCCATCCACCGGCCTGGCCAGGCTGGGGTAGGAGGAGGGGGGCAGCAGGGGACTTGCCTGGGGTCTGGAGGGGGACTGGACTGGAGACCTGGGGTGGAGGCAGGGGACGGGGTGGCCCAGTCAGGTGTGGTGGACGCTGGTCTGAACCCCAAGAAGAGTTTAAGGGCTGTGTGCGGCCTGGGCCCGGGGCAGTGCAGGGGGGACTTCCACAGTCAGCAAGGCTGGCGCAGCCAGGGAGGGGCAGCCCCCAGGAGGCTTGGCTCCAGCTGTCCTTCGGGTCGACCCCCACAATGGTGAAGGGAGGCAGGGGTCCTTCGATCTGGCCCTGGTCCCCAGTGCGCATGGCTGGAGGTGGTGGGGCCCAAGGGACCTTGAATGTCTCCTGGGAGGGAGCCCTGAGCTGAGCTGGGCCCCGCCTGGTGCCAGCTGGAGCTCCAGTCTGCCCAGCCCCATGGCCCAGCTCTGCCAGGCTCCAGGTAGCAGCTGCTGACACAGCACTGTCCCAGCCCCACGGGGCTACCGCCCCACACACCCTGGTTGCTTCTGCGAGGCCTGTAGGTCACAGTTCCTCTGTCTCCTGTGTGTGGGGCTCTGGTTCCCGGAGCAGGGGAGCGGGGGCTGTCGGGTCAGGCCTCCCAGGCAGGAGGTCAGATAGTGGGGTCAGTACCCCGGCAAAGTGCCCCTTGGGCAGGGTTCCCTCTGAGCCTCTCAGCCTCTATGGTGGGCAGGCACTGGCCCCCAGGTCCTGAGTCACTGTAGCAGTGGGCATTAGTGGTACCCAGAGAAGAGAGCACACGGGTCCTCGTCCCCAAGGCTGGACTTGGTGTGGACGGTCCCTAGAGGGGCTAGGGGGTCACTGGTGGCTGCCTCCCTGGCACCATCCACCCCACTGCCTCTCACCTCTTGGGTTGTCCACTCTGGTGCTGGCCGATTGCCCAGCCATGGACCTTGAGACTGCCTCCTCCTGATGCCCACAGATAACGTCCCATCCAGCTGTGGGAAGGGAGAGAGTGCCACGTCCCTTGGATCCCGCCTCAGAGGTGGGCCAGAGTGAGGAGAGGTGGCCGTGACCTTTTTGAGTTTTAATACTTCTGAATGATCATGTTTACTCTGTCTTTTGGGAGGTTGGCAGAAATTGACCACAAAGAGTTTAGAAAACGGAGGCTCTGAGCAGAGCCAGGCAGGCCTAGAACATATCCATCCATCCATCCATCCATCCATCCCTCCATCCATCCATCCATCCATTCACCATCCATCCATCCATGCACCCATCATCCATCCATCTGTCCATCCATCATCCATCCATCCATC